TCTATGGGCTATGGATCCTAACAAAGCTCCAAGTAATGATGGATTCTCTCCTTTATTTTTTTCAATCATCATGGGGATGTTATTAAGGGTGATCTTTTTGCTGCCATTTCCAACTTTTTTGCTTCAGCTCGTATTCCTAAGGCTACTAATCATACTATTATTACTTTCATTCCAAAAATCAAAAATCCTAAAACCATTGTACAATATAGACCTATCAGCCTATATACTATTACCTATAGAATTATAGCTAAGAATTTGGCTAATAGAATTAAAGCTGTTCTTCCCTTTTGTATTTCTCAGACTCAAGCAGCCTTCGTGCCTGGTAGAGAGATATTGGATAATTGCATTATCGCAAATGAATGCATTCATTATTTGAATACCAGGCATAAAGGAAAATCTTGTTACATGGCTATTAAATTAGATATGGAGAAAGCTTATGATAGATTAGAATGGGACTTTTTGCTTAGGATGTGTAAATATTTGGGTTTTTGTGACACCTTTTTGCTTTGGGTTCATTCTTGCATTAGTACCTCTTTTTTTCTTTCAACATTTGGGGGGAAAATTTTGGGTCAGGTGATTCCATCTCGAGGAATTAGACAAGGATGTCCTCTTTCTCCTTATCTATTTATTTATTCTTGCTTCAAAGGCATTATCAAATCTTATATTCCAAGCTTGTAAGGCAGAATCTTTATTAGGTATTCAAATCAGCAAACATTCTCCTCCTATTTCCCATTTATTTTTTGCCGATGATGCCTTACTTTTTTGTAAAGCTGATCCCAATCATGCCTACAGAATTATGCAGATTTTGAATTGGGCAGGCTGTAAATATCCATAAGTCTAGTATATTTTTCTCTAAATCAGAGGGATTGTTTATGGAATAATTTGTTCAAAATGAATTATTTTGCTTAACCATAGTTAATTTGAAAAAGGTGTATGGTTAGTTGTTAGTGGAATTTTAAGAATGTATTAAAATAATATTTAAAATAAAATGATTAAAATTGATTTGATGTAAAAGTAAGAGATAAATGATTGGAAATGATTAGAAATGATAGGTAGTTAAAATTATGTGAGTGGATGAATAGTAAATTAAAGTTGATGTGATGTGTAAAAATGATTGGTTTGTATTATTTAATTATATGAATAATATTAAAGAAAATGGAGTTGAGTTAAAGTTGAGTTAAATTTTGAGTTGAAATAAAAGTGAGTAAAATATTTGGTAAACAATCAAGCCCTTAGGGTTTAGGGACTTTGATGATTTTAATTCAGCCCTTATTCTGAAGCAAATGTGAAGAGTCATTACCAAGCCCAATTTGTTGATGAGTAGGGTTATTAGAGGTAGGTATTTTTATAACCAAAAGATCTGGGATGTTAAGAAAAAGGACAGTGACTCGTGGATGTGGAAGGGGTGGTTAGCTATTAGGAAATATCTCATTTTTGGGTCTAGATATTCTGTGGGGTGTGGTAAGGCCATTAACATTTGGGAGCACTCATGGGTTCCGAATTTTCCTAGGGTTACTCCTAAGGAGGGGTCAGGTAGTAGATAGGGTTAGGATCTCAAAAGTTGCTGATATGATGAAGGTGGGTCTTAATGAGTGGGATAGAGAATTGGTGCTTTAAATCTTTGATCCTGAGATTGCAGCCCAAATTTTTAAAATTCATATCAGTAAGGTGGGTTCATAGGACAAGTTAGTTTGGCAGCCTCATAGGAAATGTTTATTCACTGTTAAATCTGCTTACCATTTTATCCAAAAGCAAAAAGGAATTGAATCTGGGCAAGCAGAGGGTAGTCTAGGTAGTGCCAAGTTTAGGAAGATGTGGGTAACCATATGGAAAATGACTATAAAGAATACGCTTAAAGATTTCCCGTGGAGATGCATTCATAAATGCCTAAGCACTAAATGTAATTTGCAGCAGAGAGGTTTGGCAGTTGATAATATTTGTGGGGGTTGTGGGGAGGGGATTGAAACTATGGAACATATTATGTTTTATTGTCCTCGAGCTAAAAAATATGGAAATTTTCAGGTGTGTGGTGGTCTGGATGGCAGGAGGAAGGGATTGAGTTCACTGATTGGTGTGTAGAGGCATGTAAGTTGGCATCTGATGATAAGGGTAGGGAGAGAATTTCATTGTCAATATATTTGATGTGGGGGAAATGGAAGGCTCGCAATCGTTGGTTGTTTCAGCAAGAGTGGGATTCAGAGATGCAGGTGGTGAAGACAAGATAGAAAGAGTGGGCATAATATGAAGAGGCCAATGCAAGAGGATCAACTGCTGTGGATGTTCAAGGAGTAGGGGAGTTGCCAGCAACTCTCAGTGCTAATGGACACTCTGTGGCAGGATCTCGGGTGTATGGATTAGCACTCATTAATAACTCGGTTGTGGAACAATGGGCTTCAAGGAATCCAGGAACATGAGGGAATGAAGGAGACATCTTACTGCAAATCAGAGATTGGTTGGCTGCAGGTAAGAGAGCAGGGGTTGGGAGGAAGTTCACTTCAAGGTGGAAGACAAGAATATGAGGAAGAAGCACTTGGATCAGAATAAGTTCGATGTTGAAGTTATAGTTCTTGTAGATGATATTTTTGCAATTTTAAAGGATATGAAATCCTGGTCATTTAAACCACCTTAGGTGGATATTGTTCTGGTTTTTGTGGTTAGGATTTGTATAGTCTTTGTTGTTTTGTCGATTTTTTGTGCTGGTGGCCTTGTTGGTCCTCTAGGGAAGCTAATGGCAGCTCTCTCTGTTTGGTTTCTTGGTTGGGTTATGTCCAACTGAGGAACTATATATGTAACCCTTTGGTTATTCGGTTGTACTGTTTATGAGTTATATATATAACCCAACCAAGAAACCAAAGGGTTATATATATAATATTTGATGTTTGGCAAAAAAAAAAAAAAATGCACAATATTGCATTAAAATGTGCATATTAACTTTTTTTTTTAATTTTTTATATTATCACTTAATTAAATAATTGTTTCATCCACACATTTAAAGCATCAATTTAATAGAAAATCAAATTCTTGAACATAAAATTTTAATTTGAAAATTTTAATTTTTGTCTAGGTCGTTCAATATCGTATAATATAATAGTCACTAATGTGCAATTTGTATAACCCTAAAGTGCACTCATCATACATAAAAATATTAATCAAACAATTATTAATATTTTGATTTAATATTTAATTTTTATGAACTTTTATGGCTGAAATTTTGATAATATTTTACATAAAAAATTAATATAAAATTACTAATATATCTATATAGGTCGGTTGTTCGTTTATGTAAGTAAAAAAATCCATATAAAAGTGGCATAACCGGATTTTTAAAGATAAATTGATAATTGAATTGAAATTTAAATGCTCGAACTGAAAATTTGTAGTTATGTCGTTTGATATTGTGAAATGTAACGGTTCCTAGTGTGCAACTTGCATAACCCTAAAGTGCACTCGTCGTATATTAAAAATAACAATCATAATAGGGTAAATTGCACCAAACCCCCCTATATTATACTAAATTTGTGCTTTATCCCCCTATAATTTAAAAATTGCGTCAAACTCACTTGTAATGTACTTTTGCATGCACGAAACACCCTAAACCGTCAAAGATGACGGAAGTAGAGTGCACGCGCGTGCTATGTGACTCCTTCTTCATTTTTTGGCCACAAATATTCTTTTTACTAATATATAATGATTATTTAACGATTATTTATAACATATTGAAACGTGCTATATTAAAACGCTTTTGGTGACTCCACTGTTGCGTATGCACTTTATAACATATATATTATATAATATATAACGATTATTATATATTATTATAATATATATTATATTATATATAATATATATCATATTATAATGATTATTATAAAATATATATTATAATATATATTATTATAATATATATATATTATTATACATAATATATATATAATATAATATATATTATATTATAATGATTATTTTAAAATATATATTAAAATATATATTATTATAATATTATATATATATTATTATATTATATTGTATGTTATATTATATATATATATATTATATATGTATAATATTATATATATATATATTATATAATATATACATATATAATATATATATATATAATATATAATATATTGATATATATTATATATCAATAATATATTATATAATATAAAATAATATATAATAGATATTAATATATTATATATATAATATATATTTTATATATTGATGGGTTTCTTCTCAGATCTGGAACGGTCCAATGAGAAAACGTCCGGATCTGGGACGAACCGGTACGGATGAGCTTAGATCTGATGTGATGGCGATCGAACCGTTGTTGCTGAGCCGCAAGAACACCTGCAAGAACTCAACGCCGGAGGGGTTTCCGGCGTAGAGCCTCCAACGCTCAAGTCAGTATATGAGAGAGGTGATGATAGCTGCTATCAGAGCAGCAGCAGTAATGCAAAGGATATGGAATGAATGAGAGTTAGGGTTTTGGGATTACCTCAG